TTTAAAACATTTAAAACTAATTGCGGGGGCAATACTAAAGGAGTGCCGGGTTTTGTGACGATGAGCCTTAGAACACCATCTTACGCAATTTGTACTCACAATCGTCTGAGGTTGGTGGACGCCGACAAGTCCAAACTCCAATGCGCAGTGTTGTTGTCGGCGGTCGAACAGAGGATATGCACGCGCGCTGCGAGGTTAGTTGCGCAACCAAGGACTTGCTTAACGGAGGCGATTCGATTCACACAGTCTCAGGTCCTTTTCAAATGAGTCACCCGGTGTCGCGAGGGGAAGTATGCCGTTCCGATGGCAACGACTGCCGTTCACGAACACTCCTATGTCCGGTCGCTCGAAGCACGAGCCTGACGAGTATGATGTATAGAACAGTCGGTGCATGCTACCCGTCGCATGCAGGTTCGGATTGTCTCGATGACTGCACGCGTTGGGGTGCGTCCCAATCTTAGCCGGTGTAGAATTCTCCATCCAGGCAGTCGAACGTCTACTTGATCGGCCCTTTGACGTCGTCTGTGGTGGTGGCGCGGGCAATTTACCACGGCGGTGAACTTCACGCTCGAGTCTTGAGTGGCTGCAACCACGTCGTTGGACTGAGCAGCGTGCATGCGGAACTCTTTTTCCATGGCATTCACCATCACGATACCATCAATGTAGTTTTTGGGATGCGGCAGTGACGGCGCCATCTTTGAAGACGGCTCGTTTGGGGATGTCAGCAAAACCTGTACTTAGCATGTTACCATCCATCGCTGCCGCTGCGGCACGTTGCATGCTGCATGCCACCCAACGTCAACGGTGATGGAAACCCCACCAGCAAATTTCTTGGACCAAGTGCTGGACACACAGCATTGCTCGAAGCCAACTTGGGCACAAACGCGATCGAATGTGATGATTTTTGCATTCAGCGAGGGTTCCACGGGCGAGCGCACCGCGGCAAGTCATGGATGCCGTGTCGTGCGCGCTGATAATTCGTTGAGCTTACTGGAATTGCTTCGCCACCGTATTGGACTACGGCCGTGTGGTCGGTTTGAGACGTGAGTCCACGCTGCGGTGAGATTGGCACACTCCGATGGGCTGCATCTCATGCCGATCGTGCAGTCTCCTAGCACCCTCATGGTCAAAAGGAACCGTGCTGTAACCTTCGACCCCACGCCCCTCCCACCCAGCGCCGATAACCAAGCGCAGCGGCCACCCGTCCATGCTGTAACCGTGCCATGCCATGGGGCGACACACATCCATCGCGTTGCAAGCTTGCGACGTGGAAGCCCTGCAACTCCATCGACGGGGGGCGGGGTGGCGATTTCCCCAACGCGTGCACTCGTCAACCAGTCCAAGAAACCCACGTGGTTCATCTACATAAATAACGACCTCTACCGCAGGTCACTGCGTGCTCGTGACGAAATACCTACGCCATGTCGATGTCCATGAGCACACCACCACACGATCTTCTGCATCACGTACGTGCGAATCTTGGAGTGGTGGCCAGCCAACGTGAGCATCTTGTGGTACTCAAATTTGAACGCGTTCGGGTCCGTATTCTACACAACGACGTCCATGACAACGACACGATGTGTGCCACGCAACCTTGATGCGAGTGTAAGTGGACTCGCTCAAGTGGATGCGACCAGGCGACCCCGTGCTCTCGAGGTGCTGGGCAATCGCGACCGTGTCTCCAAATAAGTGGTATCTGCAGCCAGCCAGTCAGGTCCGCTGTCCCTGGGCTCAATCATGGACCTACCGCGGATCCTTGATACCGACAACGCCGGCCACGACAGGACCAGAGTGCACCCCAATGCGAATGTTCAAGTTGGGGTTGCCCGAGTTGCGGCGGAGCATTGGCAATGTCGACAGCATGTCCATTCCTGCGCGCTGTCAACTCACCGACGACATATTCATCGATGGTACCAGCTTGCAAGATCGTAATTGCGTCCACGTTGGTGACGAGGGGGCACCCGCCCACGACAAAGTAGGCGTCGCCAATGATCTCGACTTTGTACAGCGCTCGCTTTTCTGTGATCGTGTCGAAGCGCGTGTACATGTCGTTGAGGAATTGCACCAACTACCGAGTCAGGTGTCATCGAGGTCGTTCTCGTCATGGAAGCGATACCTCCATGGCCGTCACACGGGACGAGTACGACGTAAAGTTGACCATGTCTGTAAACAGGATCGTGACGTTGTCAAAGGTCTCAGCAATCTAGACGTCGATGAGCAGTCGGTGGGAAGATGACCAGTGACGACGCCTTACAGTCTTCTCGGGCGACGTCTTGAGCTGCATGACGATCGTTTCGGGAAGCAGGTTGAGGAGGAGTTTGGACACGCGGTCCTGCTCCTCCAGGAGTTTCTGCTGCTGCGTGTTGAGGACGAGGTCGCGAAAATGGTTGATTCGTTGCTTGTACTCCATGTTGAACACGACCCATGTTTGGGCGCCGAGGAACACAAAAATGTAGAGCGCGTTCCGGAGGTACACCATCCCGTTGGCGAGCCACCACGACACGACCTTCCCGTTCGCGTCCGGCGCCGGGACGTACTTGAACGGCGAGTCCTCGATGATCATGAACGTCACGAGGTACATGGCCAAGATGAAGAACCCGACAAAGAGCCGCAGCGAGAACGACAGGATGCTAAAGTGGCACTGGTACATGGCAAACACGCTGTAGTAGATGTGGCCTACGCAGTTGCGTATTCAGGCGGTGGCAGCGCACACAGATCGTAGAGGAGACATACCTTTGCCGGTCGTCGCGACAGCTTCTACGTTCAAGATGAGCGACATGAACAGGACCATGGCGAGCGTGGAGATTTGCTGGTACTGTTTGTAGGCCGGCGTGAATGTGAAGAGGAGCGAGAGGACGAGCGTTGGAAACGTGATGCAAATGTTGATGACAAACAAGAATTGGGACCCGGCAAAGTCGCGGACTTGCAGCAGCGATAACGTTTGGTACATGGTCATGACGAGGACTTTCATGGCGCCGCCGAGGCAGATCGAGTACCGGAGGAACCGGAGCCCGCCTTTTTCGTTCTCTGCCCGATATAGCCGCTCAAATGTGTGCGTGGCGTGGATCGACAAGCACAGGTTCCGCTTCGTCAGTCCTTCCGGGAGCCCCATGAGCGCCGACGGCAGCGGCACGACATCGGCGGAAGTCGACATGTCGATTTCGTCGGGCAGATCCAGTTGGTCCTCGTCCTCTTCCTTCATGTTGTCGGCCCGCGGCACGGACGAAAGGTTGTGCCGTCTCGTGGCTGACCGCAACTTGATGGACGCGTCGGATGTTGGAATCAATTTCATGATGGCGTCTCGAGCTTGCGTATCGGGCGAGGGCAAGACCTAAAGGAGCGGCGGTGGCGCATCGTCGAGTCAAATCCGCGCGAGCACATGCAAGAAAGGTACCTCGTGGACGACGGACGCGCGGACCATGCTCATGCGAACGATGGATTTCGGGGACGCTACCGGAATGGGCGGGATCACCGGCGCAGGTTGGTTGGGCACCAAGATTGGCGCCATGATCACGGCCGTTCCTTCCTTGCGATTTTGCAAGAAGAACGTCTGCATTTCGCCGCGGCCCTTGACCGTAATCGTGCCGCGCAGCTCCATCACGTAGTCGTCTTTGAGGGCATTCGCCGTCCACTCGGTCATTTGAATATGGCCCGGCAGGTTGGTGCTCTCCATCCGCGACGCCACGTTGACGGTATCTCCAAACAACTAATCATGCACGACGTCAGTCATCTAGACATGGGTGGCCTCGACGGACCTTGAAGCGGGGATTCCGAATCCCGACGACGCCAGCCATGAGGGATCCGGAATTAATCCCAATGCGGATGTTGACGTCTTCCATGTTGGCGGCCCACTTGAACGTGTTGCGGATCTTGGTGCGCAGCTCCGGCATCGATGCGATCATTTCAAGCGCGAGGTTCGCGACGAGCTTGGTGTGGTTGATCGTGCGGTCGGGACAGCCCCCCGCGACCATGTACACGGCGCCGATTGTTTCAATCTTGTGGACCGAGTGCGAGTCGACGAGGAGGTCGAACTTGGAGAAGATTGTGTTGAGCAGCTCGACGACTTGTGCAGGGGCGAGTTGGCCGGAAATGTCGTCAAAGTGACACACTTCGCAGAAAAGCACCGTCACGGCTGGGTACGCGTCCGCGATGAGCTCACGGCCAGACTGCAGCTGTGCTATCACGGATGCAGGCAGCATGCTTCCGAGCAGCAGCTTCGACCTCGTTTCTTCTTGCTCGAGCTAGGCATGGTCATCAGTGCTTGGACGAGACGGCACGCGTCGTACCTGGCGCTGCTGCGACAAGAGCAGGGTTTCACTCATGTAGCTTACTCGAATGGCAAACTCCCTCGATTGACTACGTACACGAGTCAAGTCCGATGGATGGCGGGGGTGACAAAGCCTTGGACGACAGAGATGTACCTGGGAAACGAAATGAGGACGAAGAACCCCCACGCGTACAAGTATTCGCGAATGATCATTTGGGTATACTCGCCGGGGCACTGGGGATAGATAATGGCGGGGTAGATGAGCAGGAGCATGGCAGACGACCCCATGATGTGGAGGAACCGGAGCGGCGTGCACGAGTAAAAGTACATAACGACGAGGCACAGCCACGTCACGCCAAAATCGCACGTGAGCTTATTGTACACGAGGAAGTACATGCCGAGGAAGAAGTGCGAGATGTATGTGACCCGGAGGTAGGTCTTGATGGAGGCGCGGTGGACGCACCAAATGTTGATGCAGAGGAGCGGCAAAATCACGGCGAAGCGGAGGAGCATGGTGATTTTGAACGCGAGGACGCCGCCGCCGGCCCCTATCACGGTCATTCGACACAGCTCGAGGTTGCCTGCACCTGTCGACGGCGCGCTGATGGCAATAGTGGACGTGGCCGTGCCGTTCGTCCCGCCTCGGTTCACGAGCACGTCGTAGTCGTAGTAGATGACGACGAAAAAGAAGAGCATGGTGACAATCATGCCTCGCACGTGGTTGACGCGCTGGATCTGAACGTAATGGGCAGCGAACGCGTCCTCGACATGCGTGAGCACCTTGTTCGTCGACAGCTGGATGAAGTAGAGGCTTAAAAAGTGCAGCGCAATGTCGTCGAGCGTAAATTTTGCATTGTCCCCAAGAATCAACGACGGAACGGCCGTCGAGATGGTCACGTTCGAGTCTACGGACGCGACCTTGTTGCTGCGCGGGGACGTGTTGTGCGAAGCGGGCGACGGGGTCCGGGTATCGCCTGCTTTGGTCGACGACGACATGGTGGACAGCCGACAGGAACGAATGCTGTCGACACACGGCGGCGCGGCAACTCCGACTGCGGACCGACCCAAACCTCGCACTGCCCTGAACCAGCACGTCGAGATGAAACGGCTGCGTCCCTTCAGAAATGTGAAACCGAACCAAAGATCAAGCATGTGTGGGTTGACCGTTTCACCACCTGAAGTTTGTGGTTGCTTGACGTGGGAATAGTCGATCGAGGTGGAGGCAAGCCGTCGCCGCCCTCCTGATGGAAAAAGACATCGTCGAGGTGACAATGACAAAGAAGGGCTTGGTGAACACTCGACGACCGCTCCTTCAACGCAAGAACCGTGCAGGCTGAACGAATGGCTCCTGAGCGACAACCACCACAAGTTGAAAGGAAGAGGTGGAGATCAAGCTTCAATGCATGCTATATATCGCCGCAGCGTTGAAACGAACGTGGTTTACGCGGCATGCTTTGGTCCATCTAAAATGTGCCGAAAGCAAGATCAACAAGGTCCGAGGGTAAATGGCAGACTATGTGCTATTGATGTGGGATAAATCGTCGCGTGCGGTTCAACCCTCGAGGTAATTGTGGCTCTACGCACACCGAAAGCAGTCTGGAAACAACGTTGGGTTGCCTTCGTCGAGTGGTTGCATGGAATATGTGTGGTGACTGCTCAGCAACAACTACGATGAAACCAAATGAGCCCACGGGTCGTCAAGGAAAGATGGACGGAACAGCGATGTGGCCGTCGCTGTCGATCGTTCGTATTGAGAAAGATGGAGTGGAGGAGCAGTTGTTGGAAGCGGTGGCTGAGGAGGGGGAAGTGGTGGGTTTTGTCTTGATTGGACAAGTTGAGCCCACGGATCTTCGAGGAAGGATGGTTTAAAGTAGTTGCGACCATTCACGTCCGATGCGCGGCGAGCATAGCTTTCAGTTCGTGGGGAATAATGCGATGGATGGTTCCTTTCGTTGTGGTGTTGGCGTGGAGGCCCGCGGTCAAGTCGAAAGCGCTTTTTGCCGTGAGTAGAGGGTGGTGCTGCATGCTGCGATGGAGTGGTCGATGTCGAGGCAGCTGCGGCAACTGTGTGCCCACTTGGCTGCTTTGATGAGGAGTTCTTCCTGTTGAAGTAGGGTCGTTTTGTCGTTTGGAAGCTCGTAGGCAACTCGCTCATGCCATCCATGGTGGTTTCTGTCAGTGTCGAAATATTTGAACAAAGGCATTACATTGAATGATAAAAACTATTTACAGCCAATCATGACTAGTTCGTTGACTTGCCTAGAGACTATTGCCCACCTTAAGGAGTAGCACAATACTAGTACTCCATAAGATTGCCGCCACAGGTTCGAGGATACAATGCAACACGAGGAAGATTTTTGATAGCTTTTGCATCTGACATCGTCCAAGGAATGGATGTACTTCCAGGGCTCACGCAGGCCACGTAGCTGAAAAAACTTGCCAAAATATGAGAGAAAAATACAGGTTCTACCGGGATTCGAACCCGGAATACAAGATTCAAAGTCTTGGGTGCTAACCATTACACTATAGAACCAGGGTGATGACGTAAAGAATTTAACAATATATTTCATTTGATTTGTACTATCGAAAGCAAGTCGCGCAATTGACCGAAAATGACCACTGCCGCGGAATTGAGCAAGGTATGAGGATCTTGCGACGTCCACATCATTTCCCCTGGATTTACGTCGGGCTGACGTCCAAGGGTAGATTGCCAAGATCCAAGACCAGAAGGAAAAGCTGAATTCTTACAAGGTGACGAAGCGATGAGATTGTTCCAACTTCCTGCAGGAGGGGAACGGACTACGTCATTCTTGGTGGATAGGCACTTGTGGATGGCACGTTTCTGGACTTTGCGTCGTTGAAGGCTATCTTTGATCATGGTACTCCTCATGGTTTGACATGCGTCCCACCATGTTGACGGTATTTGAGCAGCGCTGGACGAGAGCGTTCAACTGGCCATCTCTCGCGGCCTCTTGACGCACTTGGCGTCATCCGTGCTGGTCCGCATTGATCCAGAAGCCCATGCGTGGAAGAAAGATTTTCTTGTGTATTGCTTGGCCAAGATCAAGTCTCGTATTCTGTCGTTTGAAGAGGCGGATGTAGCATTGCGCGAAATTCTGTGCGATTTGCTCATGGACGAAGAGGAGTACATTGAGGCTGCAAAGACGCTGGCCGCAATCAACCTCGAAAGCTCCTCAAGGTGGGGATCCCTTTCCTTCTCTACAACATTTCCTGGCATATCGCTGACGTTCCAAGCGACTAGGCAATACACGGACGACGAGAAGGCTGAAAAGTACGTCAAAATCGCGGAATTGTACCTCCAAGAAGACGAAACCGTGGACGCCGAAAACTACATCAACCGCGCATCCCGTGTGATTCACGCCGTTGGGTCGAACAACTGGCCGCTGAAGCTGCGGTACCAAGTGTCGTACGCTCGCATTTTGGATGCCAAGCGCAAGTTCCTCGATGCCGCGCTGCGATACTACGAATTTTCGCAGTCCAAGCCGGATGTTCGTGTCGTTTTTAAACTCCAATCGATGGATCGATGGTGGTAGTCTGACCTCGTTGACATGATTAGGAAGTGGACCCCGATGACTTAATGCAACTCCTTGGCAAAGCTGTGACGTGCGCAATCTTGGCAGCGGCGGGACCTCAACGCTCGCGCCTCCTCGCCACTCTATACAAGGTACCTTTGAAGTGCGGTGTTGAAGACTGAAGCGACGATGGTGGCAGGATGAACGCGTCAAAGCGAGCGAGCACGCTGCAATCTTGGAGAAAATGCACATGGAGCAGCTCCTTCGACGCAGCGACATTGTGTCGTTCGAACTGAGCTTGCTCCCGCACCAAAAGGCCCAACTTGCCAACGGGTTCACTGTGTTGGAGCAAGCGTTTCTTGAGCATAACATGCTTGCCGTGTCCAAGATATACAAGTCGATGCGGTTCCAAGAACTCGGAACGTTGCTCGGCGTCGATGCGTTGCGTGCCGAAAAGGTGACGTGCTCCTTTTTCGCATTAAAATGTCGTGACGATGCGTTAGGTTGCTGCGATAATGATTGGCGAAGAGCGCATGAAAGGGTCGATCGATCAACTGCATGGCATGTTGGAGTTCCAAACGAGTACGCGAGTTGAATCGATCCATAACTCAAATGGTTCAATGTCGTTGACTGTGGTAGATGCCGATGCGCTCCATGGATGGGACGATCGCATCCAAGCAATTTGCTTGAACGTGAACGCCGCCGCCGAGAACATTCAGTCCAAGTACCCGCACCTGTGTGCGTAGACAGCATGCGTTGGTTCATTGTGCAATGGAAATACAGGCTGCCATCGATATCGCTGTCTAATTTGTGACATTCAACTCTCCTGTCGTCGCTACACAACGGGCTTCGCGAACAAGGAGACCACGTGCGACCATGAGTTGGTGGGCTGACTGCTGTGTTCAACATTGTGAAATGCACAGAGGATGCAGCACGCGCGAAGCGTTCGCTGTGTCCGCCTTGGAGTATGGTCGAGTCAATTGGCATGAGCAATGGAAGTGCCCGTGGACGTCGCTACGAACACTCGAATTCTTTTACGTGATCCAAGTCGTCGATGTGGAACTTGTTTTGGCTCAAGTGTAGTTGAAGTGTGGCACGGCTCGTCAGGATCGGGCATCCCGCTCTTGGGCGGCTTGTCGTGTGATCTTGAGTGGCGCTGGTTCAAAGTCTTTTTAGATGACAGGGCGATTCGACGTCGTGAACAATTGAGCTCAACGTTTCGGAAACAGCATCGAGACGGCAGTCGAATCCATATCATCGCGGGCGCGATTGCCCGTCGACGGCGCGCCTACTTCGGAAACGACGAAACTTGTCCTTCGCAACACACTTTGTCTCATCGATCGTATTCAGTGTGAGTTGTCGACTGTGAAGGTGCCAGTCGACTACTCATCCAACTCAAACATCGCGTCGTGGCGTTGCTACGTTGTTCGGTGGTCCCCAGTGGCGTGCCCACGATGCTGAACGCCGCTCTTCATCCTCAGTATCGGAACACAACGCCACACACAACAAACGTGACGAGGAGAACCGATGGAATCGACCGATTTAGATTAGCACGCCCGAACTATACGACGTCAATACCCATGGATCTTACTTACCGTGCACCGGCAGTCGAGACTCGCGTGGTACCGGACAGGGCAAGCTATACCCTAAAGCCCAACCAAGGATGGATGCTTCCACCCGTACAAAGACGTCGCGTCGCAGGTCTCGGACACAATTCGTTGTTGAGACGATCGACCCAGATGCAGTCGCCGCAGCAAACACATGCCCAGATTTGGGAATTCACGACTCGGGGACTCTTCGGAACGACCCACGCGGCCAATGCCACTAGCAACGGACCGATCGCGTCCAGGAATTACCACTTGGCTCGGGGACACAAATGGTAATTCACTCAGGCTCACTCATTCTTGTGCCTTCCCAGCGACCGGCTTTGAAACGCAAACCGACCCCTTGCTCGGCCCAAACTCGTTCTCGAGACTTTCATCCCAGAGCTACTGTTCAAGCCGGTCGACGCCACCGCCGTCGCATGGGTGCGGTGTGGGGTCACTCCTTCTTGAGGATTTAGAGGTAGTTAATGCCACATGCTAACTCGAGCAATTCGACGACGCCGAGGGTATTGTAGTCTTGCAGCTGGGCCATCCAAACCAGGACCTCGTTCGATACCGCCTTGAACAACTCGGATCGATGAGAACCGAGTCGGTCGACCAACGAGGACTCGCCAACGATCAGCACTTGACCTCTGCACCTGTCAAGGTGCAATCATTTCGCTTATCGAAGGACGTTTTCGAGGCAAATGGCGCTGTGTTGTAACCGTTGCCGCCACCGGTCGGCCAAATCCATCCTTGGCGCAATCACCAGATATGCAAAACGCCACCGCCCCTTCGACGCCATGCCTCGAATCGAATCGCTGACAATGGGCACTGGCCGACCAAATTTGACGCAACAACAAGCGATGGACATCTATGGGACTTCAACTCCGTCCATGCAACGGAGATATTGAATCACGCGCGACAGGCAGCTTTCTTCTGTCTGAATCAAAAATCCAAACGATGGCGTTGACAGCACGACAGAGTTGTCGTGTGTATACCGTCCATGAAGCAGTCCTCGTACAATAGGTCATTCCGTCGGAAGTCATCGCTCATCCAGTGGAGCAACTGGTCTCGGTTGAGGTGGTGGTAGACCGAATACGTTTGCATCCCAGTGAAGTTGTTGACCGTTGTGCGAACCTCCGTCATGGACAGGAACTGGAAGCTGCCCTGCGCCGATAGGACAGTGTTTATCTACCCGCCAGCCACATGACACGGACGCGAGTGTACGAACTCGAGTGGATGGTTCCTGTGCTCTCCCTAAAGTATCGCATCGAAGCAAACGTGGCTCTGCCAAAGTTGTCACTCGATGGTTGTTAGTGGCCAGGAGAAGCTTGACGTCCTGCAAACAACAATGACACGTACCCTGACAGAATTCACGACGTCCATGTACCCGTTCTCTTCAACTCTGCTTCAGCGTACGAAACACCTGGGTGGCAAAAGGGACACATCGGTCTTTGAATCAAGCGACCACCGCTGGTGCCTGCTGATTTGCCACACGAACGCGAAAACAGAAGTGCCCTGACCTGGTGGATCACGATTACTCCATTGGTGCACCGCACTTTCACCGACTTGTGCACGATTTCGCAGTGACGGGTGCGCTAGTCGTCGCGCGGAACGGAGGTGACTTTTCTCGGACCAAATACTGCGGTGTCAGCGAACGGATCAAACCGGCGGGATGGCGACAAAGTGAACGGAACCAGAATACCCGGGATCGTCTAATTCAAGTAAGTCGCATCGATGGCTAGGATCTCGACCTTCACATGTGAACGCGTGGTGAACCGGAGATGGAACAATCCCGCACGGTGTGTTTAGATGCGAGTGGCGGCAAACTTGGAGAGCGGCACCACCTCTCGAAACTCGACAAACGTCCGGTTGATCCACTTCTACAGTTGGACGATCCACGTTAACGTGAAAAAGTTTTGACGATTTGATGATGCATCGCTGTCCCCCACGACCACAGCTCCACCCAACTACACCAACAACACTGTCACGCAAATCGACGTGTTGCGCGTCAAGGAATTTCGGCATCGATGGCTTCCAGTATCACGAACGGGTCGACTTCGGTAATGAGAGTGCACTTGCTTTCGTCCCGTCAAAATTGTAACCTTCGCACATGGCAAAGACCCAGTGTAACCAGCGTGGCCCATCCAAACAACGACGACAATCGTGAGGGCCATGTAAGGCTCGACCAAGTGCGATGGGGTGCCCTTGCCGAAAATTCGTAATGAACGAAAGAACTTCAAACCACAGTTCCTGAAGGTCCGTGGTGGCGCTCCCTCCATTTGTCCTGAGCGACGAGTTGTCATGACGGACTCCTCGTCGTCGGCCACATGGCGATCTGACCGTTGTTGCGTTGCCGATGAAAGGTGTCATGACAAGGAAGATTGCACACGTCAGCTCCAGCGTATTCGGCCTTAGGGCCTTGATGCGACCAAATTCATAGTTGGCAAAACGTTAGAGGAGCGTTGTTCAATGGAACGGTTCATCTTGAAGGACATGTAACCGCAGATCCGATTGCACGTTGCCAAGCTTTACGTCATCTTGTCGTTATCGAAGGGGTGGGTGGTGGGTAGTCAATGTCGTGCATACTTGAGTGGGATAGATGGGTCTCTCATCGAACCGTCGTCACTAGCACACACGCACAAGAAGAGTGACCTGAAAATCTTGGTGTGATAAGTTGTTGAGCAATGTTGTGCCAACAAAAACTGCGCCACCATGGATTGGACCGTTCCATGCAAGCCAAGAAACCGCCCAGTCGGTATCACGTTTAGCAAAGTGTGTTTGCCATGACGCACCAGAAGCTCTCGTCGTTGGTCGACCAGTCCAAGGAGTTGACAGCCCAACCACCATGCCGGACCAAACGAAATCTGGCTTGGTGGAAAGATCATTACGGCAAGTCCGTCGTCACGACCAAAGCGTTGGCAGCCATGGCTGACAGCGTATACCGTGCCGTCGTCAACAACGATATTGCAGGCCTCGAACGGTTTTTGGCAGAGGACCCAACACTCGCGTTTACAAAGATCTTTGTACGTCTTGAGTGAACAACATCTCTCGTATCAAAATGATCACTTGCATGGATGGACATTAGGGACCTGGCAAGGTACACAGTGACGCCCCGCGACATCCACCGCATGATCTCTAACATGACGCCAGAGGACAGCGTTGTACGTGGCCAGCATGCTCGGCAAGGTGGACATCGTTCGACTGCTAATTGCGAGAGGAGCCGACAAGTCCATACCAGTTCCGAGTGATAACATGCATCTTCATCGAAGCATTCTAGGCACTTGAAATGTGAAGGAGTTGACCCTGTTCACGTCGCAGGGATGTGCACACACGATGTCGTGTCAGCGATGAAAATCAAGCACCTGTTGGGTGGTACAGTCTTGTGCTAGATGCACTGTCTTGAAGAAACTGACCGCCGTGCCGTCGTAGCATTTACCACGCCGCAAGTGTTGCTGCGAAGGCAAAGTTGTTCGACAGGTACGATTGACGAGCATGCATGGACCTTCCTGTCATTCATGCACTGCCTCACAGCGAACAAGCCGCAGAGATTCCGTGTCGAGATCCATTTCAGCGAACCCATTTGGGATTTTGTCCAGGACGACATTGAAGTGCACCGATGCAAGGTCGCGGCGTTTTCCATGTATCGTGAAGACTTTTTCGTTGCAATCGTTCAAACCAGTGACGTGGTTGACGCAATGGACGAGGCACACCGACCACGTGTGCGGGTCCCGCCCAACGTAGCTAGGCGAAAGCACTCGAATCGGCTGAACGATGCGTCCCCCGTGCTGTACTTGACGTAGGAGTACGCGAACCAAGTTATGCGATAACATGCAGATGAAGTTGAAGTTATTGTTGCTTACATTCTTCAGGTGGACTGGTGGTCGATTCCGCAGGAGTGTTCTCTTTGTTTTCTTCCAGTTGTGTAGACAATGACAACGACGTGATCTTGGCTGGACCGAGCAACGACTTGGTCAAAGATGACGGCTCACTGTTGTGAAGTTCTTGAAGACCGAACCTTGCGCTCGTTGGCGGCGGCGAGATCCCTTTGCCGGACAACAGTCGTTTTGCTTGCTTCAGCTCGATATGCAATTCCAAGTTTTCCTTTTCCAAGTACCGCAAGTCCGCCTGAAATTTCTCGTGCAAGTCATCGCTGGTGGCTTGCCAGTCCTTTTCTTTTGACAACGCATCGTCTTCGTATTGCTTCAGACGCAGATCTTTGTCGTTGAGTAGGATCTGGAGATCCGCCAACCTCGCCGTGTGGACATCACGAAGTTGCGCTTGATTCTGCATATCTTCTTCGTGCATGAGCAATTGCTGGCGTTGGCGTTGCACAAGGTCTTCCAGATGTGTGACTTGTTGGCTAAGCTCCTTGATTTCCGCCGCAGAGTTGCCATGTTGCCGAATTTGACTCTCCAGCGTGTCAATGTGGCCTTCGTACTGGTTAATGGCGTGTTGCAATGACGCCACCTCGCTGTTTTTAATTTGGAATTCGTTTTGCGTCGTGTTGAGCTTCAGTTTCAACTCATCCTACGAAGTTGGTTATTGCAATGTGACAAATGTAATTAGTTTGCTTACTATTTTGGCTTCGACGAGTTTTCTCTCGTTTTGCTCAGCCTTCCAGCGCTCCTCCATCAACTCCACCTGAAATATACATACGCTCATTCACTAAATTCGACAACGACTTACCAACTCATCATTCTTCGACTCAAGCACTTGGCGCTTGAGTGCAGCGACTTCTTCCGTCTTCTTCTTAATGTTGAGTTTTAGCTTCTCAAACACCTCTAGGTGGCCTTTGGTCATCTTCACCAATTCGAGCTTGTTGATTCTGTCGCGTTGCACGTCCAATTGATCGGTCAGCGTGGCCTTTTCCATGTCCCACTGTCGTTGCAACATCTCCGCATGTTCTGCTTGACCTAAATTCAGAGAGGTATTAATGCTAATATTGACACCGTTGACCGTACGCTGAGCACTACAAATTGCAGCCTTTTCCAGTTCTTCAATCTTGTCGTACAATGCTTCCTTTTCTTCTAGCTGCGCGTCTAATTCGTTCTTCAACGTAACCAGTTGTGCATTTAACGAGAGCAATTCGTCATTCGCAATCGCACTCATTTTAGCGTTCTGTTCCTATCGAAAACACTAAGCAAGCAGATATATACAATTGTCGAGCGCTCACCATGTCTTGAATCTTGAGTTCCAAAGCTTGTTTAGTTGAAGCCAACGCATTGACATCGGTGTCTCGTGATGCTTGAACTGCTGCGCATTGCTCCCGCCATGCCGCGTTGATTGCCTCAATTTCAGCACGCAACTCGTCGTTGGTCAGATTTGCCCTCTTCAGGTCTTCGATGTGAGAAATCTTCTGCTCTTGCAAGGTTCTTTCAAGGTCAGCATGTTTACTGGCGCTTCTGAGTTCAAGCACTTGCAAATCTTCGCGAACTTGGGCAAGTAGGTTGTCTTTCTCGGCCAGGCCTTCGAACAAAGTATTGCATTTCGTCTCCATCGCCATACAATTCTTGGTCATTGCGTCCAGAGACGCGACTGCCCCATTGTATTTCTCTTGGAATGACTTCACGTTAACCTCACTGACAGATAGTGCACTTCGCAAATTTTGCAATTCGACAATGGTTTCTTGTTGCGACATCATCCGAGCTTCCAACGCTGCTTTCAACGTGGACACTTCACCGTTCATGACGACAAGATTTCTTTCGAGTTCAGCAGCCACCTGCGCGTGCTTGTCTGATTCAGCCTTCAACGCATTTTTTTCGTTATTCATCGCTGCCAAGCGCTCCTCAAGTGCAGCGACTTCTGTTTCATTCGCGGTGGACGCATTGCTTTGAGATGCGTCATTCTGGACGAGCAGTGATTCGATGATATGTTGTTTTTGCAACAATTCGATGTTTACGTTGACGACTTGGTCTTGCAGGCCCTCCATTTGTTTACGAAGGACTTCTCCTTCTTTCGCATGTGTTTTGATCATGGCGTCCATTTCGGCTTTGAGAACTTCGTAATTAGTGTCACGCTCGGCCAAGGAGTCTTCACGTTCTTTCGTTTGAGAAGCAAATTCCGATTTCATGGATTTCGTTTGATTGGACAATTCGTCAACTCGTTGGAGCAACTGAGCCTTCTCCGACTGCAGCTTGGCTGATTCTTCGCTTAGCAATTGGACATGTTCGTTTAATCCAAGAATGACGTTGTTCAGGTTGGCAATACATGCTTCAGAAGCGCTTTCTTTTTGCTTGTAGTGTTCGCAGAGCTGGTGGAGTTTCTCCTGCGCCTGATCTGCTTCTTCGCTCGACTGGCGTACCGTTGCTTTTGCAGCAATTTCAAATTCGATCTTGAGTTGGGGGTTTTCTTCGACTAAATTGCGGACCAATGCCTCGAGGCGACTCGCTTCGTCTCGATGGCCCACAAGCTGACTCTTCAATTCTTCCACTTCGACTGAGGTGCCTGCACCTGAAGCCATATACCGCATCAATTCGTCAAGTCGCTCTGCCTGCTGCGTAACGGTTTGTTGCAACTGCACTTTCTCAGCAGTCAAGACAGCCTTGTCTTGTTTGAACACTTCATTTTCTTTCGCAAAATCGTTGAGCGCTTGTGTCATATTTTCCAATTGACTTTCGAACATGACTTTTGCTTGCTCAAACTTCACGGACAGTTCGTAATTTGCGTCCTTCATGGCAACAAGTTCTTCATCTTTTGCTCTTCCAATGCATTCCACTTGCTTTTCTGCCTCCTCCTGGGCAGCTTGTAAGAGTTTCTCGACCGACTTTGCATGGTCAATCGCTCCTTCAAGGAATTTTACTTTGGCATTGCTTTCGTTCAGAGCGATTTGATGGACCGCACATTCTTCGTTGAGACGGTGGATTTCGCCGTTGAGGATTGAGGTGTTTGTTTGCATCGACACCACCTCTGCATGGGCTATGGAGAGTTGACTTTCAAGGTCTTCGTATTTCGCCTTCCACATATCCATTTCTTGAGCATGCAGTGCCGATTGAGCAGAGTATTTTGCCTCGTAGCTCTCAGCCGCATATACTGCTAGCGAAGATTCGTCACCAGCGGCTGAGTTAACGATTTCCGGTGCCTTATCCTGCCTACATACGCTGGTTAGTGTGATCCCCAGTAGAAATATATAATGTACTGGTCAAATTTGGCTTGAAGTGCAACTAAGGCGTCCTCGGCTTCTTGGCATTTCTTGATTTGGTCAGCCAGGTGAGCTTGAACTTGACAATGCTGAGATTCTAGAAGGAGCATTTGTTCGATGGCTTCACTTCGACTAGCCTCGCTTTCTTCGAGCACTTCGTCAAACGCTTTCACTTTTTGAATCATCGTTTCTTGATTGAGCTGGGAATCGTGCAACTGGTTACATGCTTCTTCCAATTGGGCATGCAGATCAGCACGATGATTATCTACTTCTTTCAGCAGCTTTTCCAATTGTTTGACTTCGTCTGCATGCTCAGAACACGTAGCGCACGGTTGAGCTTTCAATTGCTGGATAATTTGTTCCTTGGCGTCAAGTTGGATCTTCAAGTGCGTAATGACTTGGTTTTCACCCGTTTGCTCATCCAAATGTCCTTCTTTTCGTTTCTTTTTGGCATTTTGGCTTGATGAAGTTTGCAATTCATGCAAAATAACCTCCTCCAAGTTGGCAGAATGTTGTTGGAGCGAGTTCAGCACATCTCCGGGACCCCAGGTTTCTCTGGTGCGTTTTGCCTTGGACTTGGTACAAGTTGGTGTCTCATTCGATGACACTATGAGGCTCATTAGCCGTTCGATTTTCACTTCGTGTTTGGATTTCACTTCTGCCAATGCCATGTTTTCAGCCTTGAGAGCAATTATCGCTGCGTTGCTCTCCATTTGCTGGCGCAATTCAAACACTTCACGCTTCAGGCGTTGCAGCTGAGCCTGGTCATCCAAGACTTCATTCACTCTTGCGCTCAGTTGAATATTCTTGGCACGGGCAGCAAACTGAAGCGTACTCTTAGTTTCTTCCACATGGCGATCGGACGGTGTTACACAACAAATCATGAGCGTTCTTGTGCTTCCAGCCAGCGAACTACAAAACGTTGACGTCAGTTACGAAAGTAAACGAGGTTCTTACCTCTGCAACAATCGGGTCAATTTGCTGTCACGGAATGGGGCATTTTGGATGCTTTCAGATCCTTGTGCCAATGAATTGATCACTCGTGATAAAGTTAGCAGTGAACGATTGATGTTGCTCGCTTCCCGCAATCGCATGCCTTCGGAAGCCGTGTGGCGAACGCTTTCTGATCCCGCCAAATCCACCAAGTTGAGTACACCCACGAGCACTCCTCCTTGCAGCTCTTCCATAGATTCGTGGCTGGTACTTGGTGAAGACTTCATCTTGCTCTCAATGACGATACGAAAAATGCTATGGGATCGACTGGAGCGTTCGTTCATGATTGTCTGCCCAACAGTTCGGCGTTGTTCTCCCAATTCAAGCACTCGAAAGATATCGTCATAATCTGTGATGATCACTTCTTGCGATTCCAAGTAGATGCCTTTCTTCGGGTCTTCGCGAATCTTCAAGCTGCTCAGGCTTTTGTCGTCACACAGGAGGTCGCGAATGACTTCGTTGTATATCTCAACATATGACACACGGATGAGGAAGTCTCGGTCTGTTGACTGCTCGATGTAGCCAAAGATATGCTCGACGGCGAGGGGAAGAATACCAAGTTCGGTGTGGACATCGCCATGCATGGTGTGCGTTTTCCCCGACGAAGTTTGTCCGTACGCAAAGATTGTACCATTTATACCCTTGAGCGTGGAGTGCACAATCCGCTTTGCAACTTCACCATAAATGGTACTCGTAGGTACGCCCTCGTCAAAGATGTGGTCGTACTGAAACGCACTCGTTTGACCAGGGAGCGGAGTTCCGTTGCGGTCCGTGATGGAGATAGCGTTCAAGGAGGCCACGCAGCGCAATACATTAGCATCTTTGGCCTTGATCTCGCGCTCATTCAGCGGACGGACTCGAATGCACACGTCGATGCTCTCTTCCATGGTGCCTGACGCGATACGACTGGAAATTCTCAAATATCCCGCCCAAATTTGAATCGACCAATCAGGTGAACGAAATGCCTACTATTAGGAGTACTACGTTTCTCGATGTATATCGAACTTCGAAGCAAACAGAGTACTAGTAGTATATTCAGAGAGAAGTCTCCAAAATCACTAGTACTACTATAACTTCCATCCTCTGTCAACGGGAGTGACTTCACGTGCAATTGAATTTGTAGAAGGATGGGGCACATATTGCCCGTCGACCGACTTCTTAGCCTCGGACCTCAGTAGCTGCGCAAACCGGTCAATTCGATTTGTGATGTTACCATGATATTCAGTAAGTGCCTCTATCTATTGCTCAAGCAATCGGATGAACACGTTGTCATGCGGTCCCTTGAGAAGGAGTTGACCTTGGTAGTCGATCACTTTTTTTCGCTTGGCGGCGCGAAGGGTGCCCATTAAGGCTTCGAATAGATCCTGGCATCGCTCGTCACCAAAGAGTACGCCAAATGTGACTCCAAATTGCTTCGAGCCATCGTCGCTGGTGATTTCGTGCCCAAGGCGCTGGATTTCCACCAACAATTGCGCCACTTCCTTGTCCACTTCCATTGATCGCAGCGCCTCGTTCAAATCTGAGGTGCGGGGGGTGTCCGGATATTGATTTCCATATCCGTTATGTGAAATGTTGGGGTGGCTGCAACGGTGTTGACTATCTCCTGACTTTCTCCTGACGGCGAGTTGTACTCTGGAACACATGGGCAACCTTGACAAGTGCTCTCTGCAGTGAGTATTTCGTATTCTCCGGCGAAGGCTGAGATCTCATCCCCGACTGGCGATATTCTGTGTCAGGTCCACAAGGAGCATCTTGCCCCAAAGCAACATAACTAACACCACTACTTTCACAACGAGCCATTCACAGACGAATTTGCTGTCGAAGGCAGGCGCAAACGTGTACAGCAAGCGTGTTTCTTACATCAAGGATCCGTTTCGTCTGGTCGGGTTTGTACACGAAGATTACCCAATATGCGTCAA